CCCAGATAAGCAGGGATTAACACCAGGATTAACACCAGACAAACAAGCAGTAAACAATACCTTAATCAAGGAACTACCAACTCAAACAACCAAGCAGTAAACAACAGCCTAATCAAGGAACTCCCAAGGAGAAAACAACACCCCCACCAACACTGACAAGGCAAATTACTGTATGTAAACAGAGAGCAAACCCCACTCCCTTCTACCACGGAAGGTGTTACATAGTCAAGTAAGTAAACGTCTGCAAGAAAACAACCAAATTCAGAGAACCCCAAGGAGTCCACAGATATATTGTCATTGCTGCCAGGTACCTTACATAGCTAGAAATACCCAGCCATCAGAAAGCTTTCTTTCTTGCTTGATGTCATGCACTCCCCTCTGTAATATTGGATGGTAAATATAAAAAAGTATCATTGGCTGAAAGGCTTTGCCCCTCTGATTCTGGAGAGATGGAAACTACAGAACATGTACTTCTTTGTTGCTCCTTTTATGGAGCCATTGAAACCAGATTCATTCTACCTCTGATTACTAGATATCCTGGTCACTCACACTCAGCCTATGCCCATATGTTGCTCATAGACAAACTGCCTTTTGGCTAGGTTTTGTGCAGCCACATGGAAAATCCGCCAGACCCTGATAGCCAATTTTCCGCTAACTGAACACATTCTATGTAATTGCAATTCATTTAAATTTTAGATATTATCACATTTTTGTAATTTTAGATGTTGTTATACTTTATATAATTTTAGTGTCTACTTTGTAATGTAAATATAGACTGCATTCATAGATGCTAGTTAGGTTGTTTTATAAATATATTTTAACTTAGCCTTAAATTTTATTTCATTTATTATCTATTAGAATAGATTTTTGTATATTCACAGAACACTCTGCTTGTACTGGTCTAAGACCGTAATGAAATGAAATGGATTGGATTGGATTGATACTCTTTTGAAGAGTTCTGAAACTGTTTAGCAACCCTGATGGTGATTTGATGGTGGTATTCAAGTAAAAGTGTGTGCTGAGAGATGCAGTTCAAACTTGGGTGTATTCATTCATTCCATTCCATGTCCTTTCAATTTCAGTTTCCCTCCCCAGGCTAGTAGATATGGATTGGAGAGTGGACATCAAGACATCTTCAGACAATATCAGCAAAATGGCTATTCCTACCTGTCTGCTGCAACTGAAGGTATTGTCGTCAGATATTCATATATTGTTCTTTGTTCTTAAAAAGAGATATATAGTTTTTCCTCTCCTATACGCACATATACATACATTTCAGATCATAGTCTTTTATGGATAAATAGCACAGAGCAAGTTTAACCAGCCTCAGAGCACTGCCCATGGCTGTGTGCTGTGCATCCAGTGCATAAAGAAGTAGGCCCCAGGTTATTGCTTGCATACGTTGATTTTTCTGCATGTCAGTTCACACACCACAAACATCTACAAAACAGTGGCTACCATGTTTGCACCCATTGCATAAATTGGATGTATATAAGTCAGGACTTGCATAACTTGGACACGGCTTATGTAATAATCATTCAGCCTTACCACTGCCCCATCTCACTATGCAGGCATGGAAAGGTTTAAACCATTGGTTGATTGTTATAAGTAAAATCTGTTCCCAATGACAGTCAACTGGAAATGCAGGGTACCTGCAAGTTAAATGTAATGGAAAGTATATGAATCTGAATCTCCCTTTGTATGCTGTTCTTCCCATTGAAATTACTCCCTAAGCAGGCAGAGGAAACTTGGTACTGGTAGCCATTTGGGCAGGCTGCATGGAGAGCTTCCATAAGCTGCATGAAGGTGCAAATTGCCTAAACATCCCTTAAGATTTGTAAGTGAAGGCTAGGTTCCATGAAGCTCTACACAGGCTCCCATTCGCCATATGTGCTAGATCATAAAGGCCTCAGTAAATGTCTGAATCCTAAAACTGGTCTGGAGGTGGAGTTGTGAAGCCTCTGCCAAGCTATAGTGCACTGCTGGTAAGACTGCATTTCTCTGGATAGTTTTATATTGTGCAGGACAGTGACAACAGTACAATTTCCTAGGGCTGTTTTTTGTTTCCTCTGGTCAGTTTTCATTGGCACTAAAAACTTGCAAAGCTTACATGACCAGAGGCAGGGGCAGAAAGTGAAAAAAATAGCATGTCTCAGATGGTTTTGTCATACTGTCTTCACGTTCCTTGAAAACGTAAATGGTTGGACCAAAAAGCTATATTCAGGTTTCCTAAATGGTAACAAGGTAGAAAATCCATGTACTGGCTTTATCTCCAACCTTCCTGTGTTGATCTGGAAGTTCTAAAGTGTGAATGCAATCATGTCAGACTTCACCCATATCTTGTTTACCCTGTAGTCATTGAAAATAATGTAAACCTATTCAGCAAATCTCTGAATATGGTTACTATATCTCTCAGGTCTTAACAAATTTTAAGTTAATTGCCTGCTGAAATGAATAAGGTTTTAGATATTCATGGGACTTTTCACATTGATTTCAGTGGAACATATGTGTCACCAAGCCATGATCAATCATACTGCTTTTATATTATCATCTGTATGGTTATCGCTTATGGAGAAGCACTTATTCAGTGATTAACAACTACTGCAAAGACACTGTTTTGCATTACAATGAAACGGTGTTCAGACAAAACCGGAATATTTGTGACAGCCTGACAAGAAAAGAGAAACCAGCTGTTTGGCTTCTGCTAGGAATCTTGACTAGCTTTTTTGAAGCAGGATTGTGAAAACCAAAATGGAGGGAGAATGAGTAATAAGTAAAGACAAGTACCTTTGAGATCTCTGGCCATTACCCCAGAACCATCAGTTTTTGGAGAATGTGCAGAAATGAAGAAATCATATGTGCCTTGAGAGTAGGGTGCTAATATACTTAGGATGACCAAAAGCTCTGGTTTTCTTTCAGATTCAAGAAAATGCTGCCTTGTGTGGGGATGACTTTGCAACCTCTGCATTAACAGTAGAGCTGAACAAACAAACATTGGACACTATGCTGGATGGTCTGGGAAGGATTCGGGATCAGCTTTCTGCTATTGCAAATAAATAATATTCTAAGTAAAAAAAACTGCACCAGCCATTTGTATGCATAAAAGAACTTTCTTTCTAACTTGGGTATGATATTTCATAAGGTGCCATGTAGCTGTTCTGTTTTATTTCACCCTTCAAGGACTAAACACAGTTTTAATAATCTAGACATTCTCAAAGAAGATTGTATTCTGGGTGTGCTGCCTAAGATAAGCTTCTAATGTCAGTCAAGGCCTCAGTTTGCATCTGTTGCTAAAGAAATTCATAGCTGTGGTTAATGGGAAAGTTTGAACAAGAAGAAGGAACAGCCAGTGAAGCAGATTATTTCCCTGGACTAAAATTGTATTACTAAAAACACAACTGCAGTTCATAGGCCAGCTTCCAGTTGTCACACACTTTTGAAAAGGATCTGCTGAGGAGCCTGTCAGAAGAGATATTTCCTCTTCATGATGCATCACTTTTGACATAGGACAACTGTGGTACAGTGTCTTCTGTCATTGCATAAAGTCATTTTGCAGTGAGCAGATTCCTGTATTTTGTGCCAAGTAGCTCCAAACTTTGTAATGGCAAAGAATAAGCTTTGTCACTTCATGCTGGCTTTAACAGGAAATGAGAGTCTTTGCAAGTGATTTGAATGTACCAAATAAGGTTCCTAATGGCAATTCCAGCTTCCTATAGCAACAGTGTCATTGCAGCATGTGTGAAATATTAAGATTTCATTAAAATACACACACCCTAGCAGCTGCACTTTATCCATTTTCATTTATTTTAAACAAGTTATTTTTTCCCTCCAAGGTGCCATGAAAATAGAACTATTTTGCATGTTTTGTTTTACTAAGCATTACAGTTAGTGCTGAATTCCCTCAGTATTTTCAATTATCCAATTTCATGCTGTGATATTTTCCTTTATGTTTGTTTATTCTTTTTCTCATATTTTCCCTTGCGTGCATGTACATTTGTTTTTCTTTTCTCTTCTTCCTAAGTTCACTGAACACTCACATAATGATACCAGGAATATTCTTACCTAAACTAGTTTCTATTCTGGTATCTTCCAGATGTGATCCTACTTACATGAACTTTCCCCAACTTAGTGCCTTAGGAAAACTTCTGGAGGCATATCTGGAGGCACTTGGATCGTACAAGGATTGAAGCTGGCAAGGCAGGAACCAGCACAGTTCAGACAGAACTATTAGAGCAGGTGGATTCCAAGAGTGGGAATAGAGTAGCCAAAAGTCTGTTGATTCAAAAGATGGAAAGAAGAGGCTTAAGATTAAAACCTGAATCTGACATAAAAATGGTTTAATTTCTGTTTTTCAGTAGGCAGATCTTCTGCATATATATGACTTCTTTCTTATCAGTAATAAAATAACTTATCTAGAACTATCAAGTCTGCGAGTCTTTTGCCATTACCCAATTCCTGAATGCAGAGTTAAGTTTCTAGAAAAGTGGAGATTTATAACCATGCCTAGTCTGAGGTTTGGCAGTTGGGAGGACTCACCTATAGAATTGATAAACCAGAATGATTGAGAATTGGAACTGGAGTGCTAAATTCAATGTCCATTGGACATAGGCCCCACTGATTTCAACGATAAATCCTCCCAATTGGAGGCCATTAAGGTTGCCTCCCTGTAGTATATGGTTCCTTGCTTGAAACAACAAAAACACAAACCTCTATTTCTGGTTAGTGGTATATGACTAGGGACTGTATCCCAAAAGTAGTTCCTCTCCACTTCTATGCAGGATGTTAATCCCTGGAAGAAGTCAGTAGACTTTCTAATATAAAAGTCATTCTTAACCCAATTGACATTAACCATTTGTCCAGCATTATCCTTCTCTTGCAGTGAATTAGATAAGTTAGATGTTTTCTTCCTTTCCCCTTGACTACCACAGCTGGCCAGTTGCTGTGGGGTGGGCAATCTTGAAAGGTATGGTCTTCCATGTGTTTTCTGTTTTTTTTTTTTAGCCATCAGAATGCTGGCAACCTTATCCATTGTCTCGCCTTCCACTGAGCCCTAAAAATATCTGTCCAAGGCATTTGGATCACATGATGTTGAATTCCCTGATTTCTAGCACTTAAGCTGGCGTTGTTGAAATGCTAAATATTTCTTTCAGACCTTGAGAGGCAATTGCTCCCTGTCCAGTCACCATAGTGATCATCATACCTCTCCTCCCAATACAAAAGCAATGCCTCACCTATCAGTTCACATCAGAGGTTACAAAAAAAACAGGAAGGTCCATTGTTTGCATTTCTTTCTTTTTCTCCTGGATTGCATACTAGTCCCTCGTTCTCAATGGGTAATCAGTTCTGACTTTTAAAACGTTATTTATGTTTTTGTTAAATATAGAAAAGTGAACAAAATATATAAACATAACCAGAAATGGTGAACTGGTACCCTCAAGTTAAACATGTGAGATGTCTCCTTGCACCATACCATGATATCATCCTAATATTTTATTATTAATTTACTAATACTCTCCTCTAGCCCTCTAACACATCATGCATGTTATTTTCGGTAGTACTTGCAATAACCCTCTCAATATTTATAACTATTCTGTAAGTGAGGGTATTGAGAAATAATGCCTGGGGACAATTATGTGGCAGATCTGAAATCTGAACCAGATTTTTTGTTTGTTTGTTTGTTTTCATAGCTCTACTGGCTATGATTTATCTTGTTGGGTCTAGCAGAAAACCATCTTATATACCATAGTAAGCTGCCGTATAAATCTTGGGTCCTTCTAACTCAGTCATCTCTGCAATAGCTCTCAAGATGTTCAGGTTAAATGTGGGGCTGTTTGCTTGCAGGACATAGCCTTGATCGCTATGATATTTGTTCTGCTAGAAATGGGCCAATAGGAAAATCTGGTCCCCTTCTTTGATGTTTACTCAGCCATACACCTCTTAAGAGGAGGCAGCCACAGTTGCTAAGTCTTAAGTGTTGAAAAACAGGCATATGTCTGCCCACGATGCTTTTTTATTCATACATTTTGCTGCCTTCAGCTGAAATCCTTCACGTTGGCATTCAGGACTTTAATCCTACGATATTAATTACACAAATTTCCCTGCATCCTTCTCTCTTTGAGGGCAGTTTTGTGTATAAAATGGTTGGCTGATTTATTTTCTGTAAAGCCTTCTGAGGCTGGAATTGCTCAAGCTTTATTGAATAACCGTCTCCCACTCAATGTAACTTGATTAAGGTTTAATAATTCAGCTGCCAATAGGCTTGCAGCTTTCTAGCACATCATTGTAGATTCCTACCACCAGACTGGCAAATTCCACTTCTTCCCAAGCTGTGTGGCTGTTTTATATGCTATCTGTATCTTGAGGCAAATTTAGTGGTGGTTAATGATCTAATATGTTGGGTTTCTATGGCATCTATTCAACAACTGTTAAGCCAGCTATACAAATGGGGAAGCCGACCTGCGGGAGCTATGAAATGATTTGTCTGAAGCTCTGTTCCAGTGAATCAGCTGGAGAATTGGGAAGCTCTCTCACAAAGATGCCTTGGAGGGCCACTGCATTGGTCTGACCCCAGAAGTGCTCATTCAGAAGTGAATGCTGTTCTTTTCCTTCAACAGCTTTCCCTGCAGGATAGTTGTTTATGACTCCTAACACAGAAGTAGACAACATGTGCCTCCTGAAATATTGCTGGACTACACCTGCCATCTTCCCTAACGGTTGGCTTTGCTGGGGACGACAGAGGAATTGGAGTGCAATCACATCTGGAGGGTCATACTTTCTCCATCCCTGTTCTAACAGGACACCGGTACTTTTAAGATTAAAAAGCAAAAGGAAACACCATACTTGTGTGTATTCTAGTTCTGTACAATTCATCCCCTTCACATGCCCATATTAGCCTTTGACACTGATAAAACCTACACATTATACATAAATCTGTATATTATTGTACTAATGTTAAGAGGCTATTATCTTAGGTGGAAGGCTGTCAGGGGAGGAAACAGATGCTTAATCATTACTCCTTTGGCATTTTTTTTGCTCAAACCACCAGCTTTCTTAAAAGAAATTCTGTAGGAAAAGTATATAATCAATACGAGAGGCATATTGCGAGGCAGCAGAATTCTGCTTATTCCTAGGTTAAAGGTAATCATGGTTTGAGGTTGCTCTTATGGAAAGAAGGTTCTCCTTTCAAGCCATTGACCTAGAACAAGTAGCGGTTATGCTGGGCTTGAGCAAATGAATGACACACCACTCCCTTTTCTATCAGGAAATATGTGGGCTGATTCCATTGTGCCACAGTGTGTTAATATTATGCAGCCTCTGTCAGCTCAAGTATTTCGCTTCTAGGTTTAGATCAGCAAATCATTAAAGTTTAGGGTTGAATGCTCTAAAAAACGTGATCCGCAAGAAACTGCCACATAACAGCTAGACAGCTATCAGAATAGGAAAATATTAAATATATCTTTGTAATGATAGAAACACACAACTGTAAGGAAGTAGTTTGGCATCTGCTTTAATCATTCTGATCCAGTCAGGGATAAGAGAAGTACTTAAGCCTGACATCAAGAAGTTCAGAAGGGCCCTGGGTTAGATGGAGACAGGCAAGCTTTCATGGGAAAGACCTCAAGACCAATTCTTGACATCTCCAGGCTGACAAATTCCTGTCTGAAAGCCAAGAATTGTAGATCTGGGAAACCTTTACATCACAGACTACAGTATTGTTGGGGGAAACAGCCATGAGTTGAGCACTGAAAGTATGTGGAGCCAAAAGTGGGCAGGATGAAAAGTAGTCAAGGATACCCATTTTCTTCTTTGTGTCCCTATCTCTTCAAACAAATATCACATTCCCCATCAATCCATATTTTCTCTCACCTTGCACACTCATTCTATCCATATGCAAACATACCTCATCCATTTAGTCTGCCTTTCACACACACCCTCTCTCACACACACACTTTCCATCTAGCATTTCCTGAATATTGGTACCATTTGCAGAGGTCTGACTACAGAACCATGGCAAGATGATCTTTCTAAAGGATATTCCAACTGTTAGGATCTGCACTTGAGTCCTTTACTATGATGCTAGTGGGAGATAGGCAGGTATACTGTTTTTAGACAAGATGGAAAGAGTTAATTTCTCCTGAAAAGTAGTTTCAGCATAGGGCCTATCTCAGCATACTGCTGTTTCCTAGTTTCCAAAATGAAAAGTGTCACCACTATCTTACTAAAGTAATGGGTCTTGTGCATTGGTGAGGCTCTCTAGCAGGGAAGAGGGTTCGGAAAGGAAAAAACAAAGACCCAGGGTGCAACTAGATGTGATGCAGAGAACCCATGAGAAGGATTTCCTCTTTTCTTGTAAAAAACCAATAGCAGCTACTATGGGATTATATGGGATCACAGAGTTGTTAGGAAAAGTGTTTTTCTGCTTGAAAGTGTTCCCACAAGCTACATAGATATTGATGTTAGGGAGGAAGAGAACATGATAGGAAGCTTAATTTCTTTCATGTCCTGCTTTGTCAGCCCTTTCAGGAAACAGACTCCTCAAAAATGATTGGAACTCTATTGATATAAGTTATAGTAAGGGAATCTTGAAAGCCTGACAGTGTTTTCCCTCCCTCCTTATACCCAAGAGAGTTAAGACAGTCAGTTTCAGTTTGTTTCTAATGTTTTCTTCTTGCCCTGGGCTTAAATCATGTTTTTGTAACTGCTGTTGCATAGTTTCTCCAAGGTCATCTTCATGGCTCCTTACATGCTTGTGCTCTTCCCAGAACCAGCTGGCTGGTAGCTGGGAGAAGGTTCACAAATTAGATCTTTGTCTGATCTAGAATGGTTTTTTTCCCCTTGTGTGCTTACAGTGAACGTCTTTATGTCACGTCTACTTTGGTCTAAAATTAGAATAAATTCACACTTGACATTTTCATAATTGGTAGAAATCACTTTCATATCAATTGACCTCAAATGTGTTAGTTTTGGAAAGAGACTTTGCTTATACCCGGCCTGATTGTGAATCTGCCTATGATTATTGCTTCTCAGCCTTTTGGCCGAGATCAAGTGTGTGTAGTATCTGCCTACGATTAATTTTTGAGAAGGAAAGTGATCAGTGCACACCTACAGATTTGACAGATATCTTCTTATAATCTAGTCTTGGACTTCAATTACATCTCACTTGTAAATATTCTCAGAGAAATGGATAAACCAGATTGTGGAAGCTGAGGAAGGGAGATAAAAGTAGTTTTGCAAACTGCCATACATGTTTTTACCAGAAGATGGCCGCATTGCATTCCTAATTTGATTGTATAGTCTCAGCAAGTCCAGACGGGTTGGAGGAGGCAATAAAGCTGTCAGATATCTTTCCTCCATTCAAATCACTTTGGAATTCAGAAATAAGAACAAGACATAATTGACTTTACCACTTATTT